CAATAGGTGTTTATTTTTTGTTGTATGACTATATGCATATGTAATTACTTAATACCTATAAATGTACATAGGTATGTATGTTTGTATGACGATATACTTAGGTACATAATATGTACGTTTAATAATATAAAGAATTATTTCAAAATTTAATTTTTGTGGGAAAATGCAATCAAAGTTTGACAGACAGAAAGGCACATATCTTAGCCATTTTTGGGAAGTTTAGTTTTCTGTTAGGCTGAACATATTCTCTTTATCAAGCTTATTAATTGTATGGTGAAATCTCCAAAAACGTGAATTTTGGGTTACATCTCTATACTATTAAACGTGCGATATGTACTATGCAGGTTATCTAAACAGACGGATGTCGTCGTTTAAAGTGCAAAACCGCGTATCAACAAAATGCAAAACCGCGTATCAGCAAAATGCAAAACCGCGTATGTGAAGTTGTAGATTTCATTTTCTAGAGCGTAAAAACACTAATATTTCAAAATGGTTTTCTTTTTTATAAAGCAATCGCATTTCTGGCTAGTATATTTCAGGACGAATGGATAAGGATCGAGCCAAGAGCTTGAGTGAGCAAATCCAATTTTTGGCAGCCAATGTCAGTTACGCGGTTTTGCAGAATGACGATACGCGGTTTTGTACTTTAAACGACGATGTATGTATGTATTTATATGTGTTGCTCTTAATCAAAAATAGTGCGGTTTTGAAAATCACTGAAAACACATTAACAAAACAGCATTTGCTTTACACAGAACCCTTGATCTACAAATCAATAATAGCGACAACGCAAACTCAACGATCAACAAAATATTTATTTAGTCAGGTTCATGTAGACAAGCTTATTGTGTTTGTGACTAAGTATATATGTGATAATTAAATTTAAAATAGAACCTTTTCGAGTTCTAAACCATTGACGTTGAGCAGCGCTTGCAAACTGAATTGAGATCCGTTGAAGAGCGCTCAGTGAAGCGCCAACGTAGTACTTATGAAGATATGTACATACATACATACATATGTACAATACGTACCATATGTATGTAAAATACTCTCAGACCGGTCTGATCAATTTTGAGACTTGACAAGAGCTACGATTAAATGCAAAACTACGCTCTCTACTTGTGTATTAGCAGCTCCATGGAACCTATCTAGCCAGACTAACTGGGCCATAAGTTAAGTTAGTAGATAAGTTATGTATTTTTGGTTTGCTTGTTAGAAATTTGCAAATTAATTGTTTATAAACAGAAGCATTAATTTCAGATTTAAGGACTAATTCTTTTACTAGATGTGTACACGTTAATAGGTAATTTCGATATTTGAATAGGTTAAAAAGACTTTAACATTTTAATAGTATCATTAAACTTATAATGCTTTTGACTAAGTATTTAAAATACAAAAATTTTAATTTGAAAAACCTAACCTCAAAATTTTAAATATAACTTATGTCCACTGCTTACTCTTTTAAAGAAAATAGTTGAATAACTAATTTTTTAATACTCTTGCCTACTAAAAAAAAAAACCTAGTGGACCCGGCGAACCCGGTCGGCCCAAAATATTTTGTTTTATTTAAACATTTTTCGAGGGTTAATATATATATTTAATTCACTAAAATTTTAGACTTGTGGCAACCCTATTAAAAATTTTATATTTTTACATAGAGCCGTGAAATTGGCCTATTTCACCTATTACGTTTTATGGATTATTATAGAAGATATGGAGCTGGACTGACCGGATACATTGCTTTTAGCTTTTTAAATACATTTTATTTTTAAAACGAACTAAATTTTAACAACGTGATTATTTTTCGCACGTGTGTTGGCTTTCGCTCTTCAGAATGAGAGTTCTCAATTATTGAATTTGATTAAATATTAAGGGAGATATCGTGTGGTAACCCAAAAATATATTTTAGAAATAAGATTATAGATAAAATAAAACTATGGAAGTTAAAAAATCTAACCTCAATAATCGAAATTTTAAAATCCACAATTCTATATTAATCCAGTTAATTTCTGGAGTTAAAAGTCCTTCCGAAAGGCCTTCCTGAGAGTCAAAAGTCTTTCCACTCTACATTCCTTTCTCCTTTCTTTATTTTTATAGAATGGCACAAATTGAAGGGCTTCTTCTTTCGCTACCCCAGAAGGGCTTTTATAGGACGTACTTCAGAAGGCCTCTTGGAGTTTTTTTTTTTAAGTTGTTCCTTTAATTTATAAAAATCATACATCTTTGAAGTATTTGCTTAAGGTTTATATCAAATATGTGCTATTGCAACTTAAAATGTTTATTGAAATTCATTTGTAATGCTAAATAATGTAAATTTATGCATTCGCGTAAATTGTAAATGAATAAGCCCTTCTGGAAGGCATGCAAGGAAGCACTTCAGCCCTTCTTGGATAGGCCTCTTAGAATGGCTTCACTTAAGAAAGCCTACCTAAATTATCTTAGGGGAAGTTCAAAAACCTAACCTCAATAATCGAAAATTTAAAAAACACAATTCAATATTACTTATTCTGTATTTCCTTGAGTAATTATTCAATATAGTACGTAAATTTTAAGAGTCATATGCAATGGAAAAAAAAGATTCGAACCTTACCTTGTTTTTGTTGTTGTAGCGGCAATACTAAGCTCTGCTTAAATCGGCTACTGGTTACAGGGTGAGCCGTGTTAGCTGAGTGGGTTTATGGGACAAGTAAACTGGAGAGGCTGTTGTGCTCGGGGATAAAGTCTGCTTTAGTATCCAGCTCTTACCCTGTGGCGAAAATCTCGAGTTCTGAACTAGTGCACTTCTAGTACATTTAGACCCAGTACTGGTTCGCGATAAATTACTTTTGCATGCAAGCAACCGGCGAATTTAACATGGCGATGTCCTAGGAAGTGTCATCCCTTTTTCGATAGATCCGAACTATTCCTAAATTCTATAGTTCCGAACCAGTTCTAAAATCGACAGACGAAAGAAAAAAGTATCATAATTTTTTAATCTTTTCGGGGTTTCCCTGTGTGCGATTTTAAATTATTTTGGAAGAAATGTACAGCTACTCACACTTAAAGTGGGACACTGCACTAAAATACTAGTTTTGTATCCCTCGCATTAAATACACATTGTAAATATTGGAGAAATTGCCAGAATTGCCTTTTATTTTACTTCACTAGAATAAGGTTTTACTGAAATTGTGTGTTTTCTTTTTTTCACAGTGTAAGTACAAAAACATTTGCATTTCTACATCTTCATCTAAGCTTCGAATGCTCACATTCAAAGTGGGACACGTGCATTTTTTTGAAGTACCGCTATCTTTGATGTTCGCGATCAGCAATTGCGAGCTAAAATCAGTGTTTTATGATATTTCATTGTGGTAAGATATTCATTTCTTCAAAATGTCACAAAAAGGTCAAACTACAATTGAAGAAAGACAAATTATTGTAAACAATTATAAAAACAACAAATCTATCCGAGAAATAGCAAAGATAGTTAATAAGAAGAAAAGTACAGTGTTTAATATTATAAAACGCTTTAAAGCCACTAATAGTGTTGAAAATAAAAAAAGAAATTGCGTGAACAGGCGCAAATTATCCGACCGGGATAAGCGATATTGTTTGAAACAAATTGAAAACGACCCGCTTTTATCAGCAGTTGACACCCAAAAAAGCTTAAAAGAGATAAAAAACGTAGAAGTAAGTGCTGAAACAGTCCGCCGAGTCTTACGGAGCAACAATTTACACGGAAGAGCCTGCCGCCGAAAGCCTTTGATATCGGCGAAAAACCAACAGCTGAGATACGCCTTCGCTCAAAAGCATGCAAATAATAATGCAACGTTCTGGTCAAAAGTAATTACTTTTGTTGTAAATTTTTCCAACTTTTTTCGATTCTTATAATATCTGCGTAGGTTCTTTTTACAGATGAAACGAAAATAAATCTCTTTGGGCCGGATGGAAAAAGATTTGCTTGGCGCAAGCCTCGTGCTGAATTTCAGGATAACGCCATTAAAAAAACCGTGAAGTATGGTGGTGGCTCCCTTATGATATGGGGGTGTATGTCAGAGTCTGGAGTTGGGAAAATACATTTTGTGAATGGAATTATGGATGCGAAGTATTACATTGACATTCTGAAAGAAAACGTGAAAGAAAGCGCCGAAAGACTTGGCATAAAAGACGACTTCGTATTCTACCAGGACAACGATCCCAAACATAAGTCCTGGAATGCACGAAATTGGCTACTCTATAACTGTCCAAAGGTAATGGAGACACCTCCTCAGTCTCCAGACTTAAATGTTATAGAACATATCTGGGCAGAGTTGAAAAAAAGGGTAGCCAGACGGAAGGCCAAAAGCATTGCCGCACTGAAGGATGCCGTAATAGAAGAGTGGTATAATATCGAACCTGAATTCTGTAAAAAGTTGGTGGAAAGTATACCGAGACGCTTTCAAGCTGTGATAGCGAGCAATGGAAAGTCAACGAAGTATTAATTACTTATTTTATAAAAAATACATGTATGGAAACTGTAGTGTCCCACTTTGAGTGTGAGCTTCGCCTTAAGCAGTTTGAATAACAAAGGACTAATTTTAAAAAGCTCTTATGGCATTTTTTGAATTTCTTTATTTTTTTGTCTATATATTTCTCTAATAAATTGAATTATATTAAATGAAAATGCTTAAAATTAATCGACAATTTTTTTATGCCTTCTAAATATTCTACCATCAAATTTTTCTCTGTGTCCCACTTTGAGTGTGAGTAGCTGTATTTTCAATTTGAAATTAAATTTGTTTGAATGATTACAAGAAATGTACATTTACACACCTTTGGCTGTAGCTGAGTTTGCAGAGGTGCTTGCTGTTATTGGCTAGTTCTAAAATCGTCACCTTACATATAGATTTCCAATGAAAAAAGTGAAATAAAATATTTTTTTTTAAGTACCACATTTCGCCGATTTTGGACTGGTAAGGATCTAGTTACTAACGGACTGGTTCGTTTTTGGCGACAAAAATCTAGTATGGAACTAGAAATTTGATTCACTAGTTCGCTATTTCCCTGCAGGGTAGTTCAAATAGAGTTAAGCGGATCTCTCGAGGAAACTGAAGCTTTTCGTTTGCAGTGGGTGAAAGCTCCGATAACGGCATTTACGGGGCGAGAGTTTATTAACGTGGTGATGATTCTATTCTTTCCCCACAATACATTTTTATAGGAATAATTCTTTCGGTTAGTCGGAAATAGAATCATGTCCCTCGCTTGTTCTTACCTAGGCCATCGTAGCTTATGCTCTGGTTACTATGAAGTGAAGGAACTTGACTGTTTAAAAATCTATGTTATTTTTATGATGGAAAATCTACAGTAAGTCCTACATTTTGCAGAACTAATCAATTATTTTCCGTCACTGGGACGGCTTAAAATCGGAAAGCCTTTTCTCCCTTAATCCCTTAGCCGTTATTTAAAATTTCCCAAAGCATATTCGTAAGCTGGATTTCGGGGCAGCAAAGGTCTCGAGCGAAGTAGAGTGGCAATTGAGGGACTTAAAGTTTTATTCCATCTCCGAGCGCCAAGTTTTTCCATGGCGGAAATACACTCCGAGGTTTGTCACTGCCTATCGAAAGGCAACCACGATTAGAAACGTTTTAGTTAGTGGTCAAGCCAGGCATCGCAAGTGGGACTTACCGGGTGGTAGAGAGCACCTCTATCCACTTGACCACGGCGAACGAGCTTTCTATTCATCTTTAAATAAAAAAACACGCTGTTTTCCAGACATGTATTTTTTTACAGAAGCGTATTCACGAGCATTTCTTTTATTCGTCCTGCGATGCAAATTTGGAATTGATCTTATATACGGTTATGTCTGTATATCTTTACCGGTTTTCTGAAGAAACTTAATTGCAATTGTTTTAATTATTAACAGGGAATTTCCCAAACATCGCTAGCATGCATTCACTTCATATTTGAGTGCCAATAGTTATTTGCTGATATTACAAATGTACATACGAGTATGTGCA